AAAAAACATTGGTTAAGAAATCACCCAATAACCTCTCATTAGAGTCAGTGACGGACAGGTTTTAAAAAATATTGTTTCCCAGGAGATAAATGGGACCGACCCACAAATATAATGCCATCATTTAATTTTTATAACGAATAAATAATTTTAAAAAAAATGTTTACAATTAAGTTTTTTATGAAAAAAATGATTATTTCTTAGTACATGTATAGGTAGGTGGCCTAGTGGGTTGAACGTTCTCATTCTTACCATGAGACCCGGGTTCGAATCTCACTATGGTCGATTTGTCAGGAAGGAGAATTCACCTGGAGGGTCACCTTTGGAAAGTGCCTGAATACCATACCACGGCTTAACCCAAGCCTTGCGAGTGAAATCGGGTAGACTGAACCCTTGGGTGCCGTCGATAGGTGTGCTAGCACGAAGTCACAAGCCATGGCTTGAGAGTGATGACCTTGTTCAAATTGTCTATCACACTCTTTCCTAGAAAATGTAACTAAGGTCTGCTCAGTATAGTTGCAATATAAACCACTCTGTGGGTGTTGCATAAATACAAATCCGCCTTATCAAGCGTCTGCAATAGGGATTGGCTAGCCGCTCTAGTAGACGGGTATCCCCGAATAAGAGTGGCCAGCTATACAGTGTACATGTACTGTACCACAGATGCCAAATGGAAATGCGGAATGTTATATTTGTAGTTTAAAAATTCATTTTTTTATTATTTGATATTTTTAAATATCACAATTTACACTTTAACAGATAATTCAAATTCATAAGTGAGCATTAAGAGATAAACTATATTAAGAACAATCGTTTCTATTCACTAAGATGATTGTTCGAATCTGCCATTAATTCCTTCTGTGCCCAATTCATCTAAGTATTCTCTTTAATGGTTAGCAACATGTATGATTGCAAATTCTCCTCAAGGGACCAATTGACATCAGGCAAGCAGACAGCCTGGGCAGTCCGCCTTTGATTATAATTATTGGATGTTAATATGCACATACAGTCACACGATCATCTTCATGCAAGAAAATAAATCCATAATAACAGAATTAATCGTATTTATTTACGATGAAGAAAAGGTCACTATTAATTTTTTTTATCATTTCACCAAAGTGATAATGTCACGTGGTCGCATTGGGTTACTGGGAGTGACAGAGAATGAGAAGACTTTAGTGAGGAGAAATGACAATAAAAGAACACGTTTCATTGAGACAGAAGATGGTAGCTTGCTTTGAATTTAAATTTTTGAAGATCGTGGGTGACAGGAGAACGAGAAATCGGGAGTTCCACAGGCGAGAAGTGTGAGAATAGAATAAAACATACGGTTGCATCTAGCTAGTTCAACAGTGAAAACAATTTCCAATCTATCAACACGGACAAATTCATGTAGTCGAGGCACCAGAAGGAGAGAAAAATACATCAGAATAGATGCTATGAAAATATTTGTAGAAAAGACAGATGGAAGCCACGTCTTATCAGTGATATCGGATTTCCACGGCTACGAAGGGGCGCATCTAACAGGCTATTTTACGGACTATCCTTCTCTATGGCTGCGAAACGTGGCCACTTAGAGCGGTTGACCTTCGAAGGCTTGAACTGTTCGACAACGATTGCCTTCGTTGCATTCTACGATGCCGCCGAATCGTGTGCCCACAGCCACTCTACGTCGTCGCCTGAGTCTCCGTTCTCTTCCATTCGTCCTGCTCCAGCGTCGTCTCCGATGGTTCGGGCACGCAGCTCGACGCCCGGAGGGAGAGCTCATCCACGATGTAGTTCTCCCTCCTCCTCTTCCTGACTGGCGAAAACGTGGCAGCTAATGACGTGGGCTAGCACAATCAAGGATGACCTAGTAGTACTATAGGGTCTACAAGTAGTTGGTCTTCGACGATGGAATCGTGATTGGCTCGCCATTTCGTGTGACCTGGCTCAGGATCGTCGATCGTTGGTAGCGATAGTCCGTGATGCTGTACTTGCTCGGGAGGAAGCCGGTTTCTACCCGACCAGGGTGAAAACCGATACAAGTTTGCGGCCTACATCCAGCAGTCATACATGGCTCCAAGGTCAACGGCATCGACCTGCCGGCTAGAATGTGTGAGGGTACTCGGAAGTGTTTACAGACACGACCGGTGAAGTAGAACGTCTCTCGCCAACCCACCTGTGCCAAACAGCCATCGGCCAGTCGTCAGCCTAGGCGTAGAAGCTTCCGAGAGGGGGCACGCGGTAACGTCTACATCCCCGGTGCAAAAGGTGCCGTCAAGTCGTTGCATTATTCTACCTTGAATGTCACCATAAACTACAATTCTGAGAAGGAGGGGAGCGGTAACCACAGCGACGGCGCAAAATGCGCTGAATAAATGATGATGATGATGATGATGATGATGATGATGCAGAAAAGCTCACTTCTCATGAATATGAAAATAGGAACGGAGGTGTTCCTATTGGGCTTTCGTAATATTTGGAAATTCATCTTTAAGGGATAAAGAAAAATGAGATACAGGGTGGTCCGAAAATCTTGTTACCCCGTACTTCTCTTCCAAACTGTAGTGTCAGCCTTCTGAAATACAGAATTATATTATTTAGAGGTGACAAGACTTTCGGACCATACTGTAATATTTGTTGTTGAATATTTTAACTGCAATCCTTAATCATTACTTATTTCTGTTCACACTTCATCTTCTGTAATATTTAAGTTTGATGACGTACATGCACTTAAAGGGTTTTTTTATTAAACCATTTCACCCCAAGCAAGGCAATAAATCCACTAGGATGCAAGCGTTTACTGAGTTTTAGAGAATATGAGAAAAACAACTTAAATTAAGGAGAGAGGACAATAAAAGAACAAGAGGTAAGAAGACAGAAGATAGCGATTGGCTTTGCCTTTAACTTTTCGAAAATCAAAGTTGACTTGGAAGCAAAAAGCCGGAAGCCATTTCCACAAGCGAGACGTGTGATAGAAGAAACTGTCAACATAGAACTTACGGTTACATCTAGCTATTTTAAGTGTAAAATGATGAGACCTCGCCGCCAATCTAGTACTGAACTTAAATTCATAAAGTCTAGTACTATAGATGAAAGTGATATTTATTCTGTTTAATACAGAAATGTGGCACATGGCCGAAAAGGGGATTGGGGAAAAGGACGGTCTTGTTCTGTCTTAACTATAACTTAGCTAGCCGCAAACACTGACCCAATCGTACGAACAATATTCCTTACACCAAAACAACATTCATACGTACCTTTCTTACTACAACCACCATAATACCTCACTGTCTCTATGAAAATACTAACTAGTCCCCATATTTACAATTCATTGTCTGTGGGGGGGGATAAAACAACAATTCTAAAAACTAGCCCCAATGAGTATTTACTATAGATGAAAGTTCGTCAGAACAATTATCATGAAAGTATTTATTAAAAAAAAAGCACAGAGAAGTTACATTATGGTGGTGGGAAAGGGACTGAAGCCGAGATGCCAGGTCAGGACCAATAACATTGTAGATTCTTCTTTGGATTTCATCAAGAATCTCTAAATATATAGCAGGTGCACCGAACCAGATGTGGCAGGAATACTGAAAGCAAGGAATTATAGATATGTTCTTATATTATAGATTCTTAGCTGCAGACTTAGCAACTGTTTCAATATAATCTTTCCACTTCATGTCAGCGGAAAACGTTAGTCTAAGAAAGCGCAACGAATCACTCATGCTGATTTAAGGTCTCTCAGGTTATTTAAAGACAGAAGTTTCGTTTTTGAGGCGGTAAAATTAACAAGCCTCTCCTTGTACCATTTAACAACAGAGTGTAGGTCATTTTTTAGATCAGCTGCCAATTTGACCTTACCAATCTGATCAGACTGATGGCATCATGAAGGTCACTTATGAAAATTAGAAACAGCGTATCTCCAAGGATAGATGCCTGAGGAAAACCTGCATTTGGACAAAAAGATCTAGAAGAGTGGCCATTCAAGACAACTTTCATTTTGTGATTCGTTAAGAAAGACTGAATCAGTTCAAAAATTTGTTCTGAATTACCATAACCTTTCAACTTGGGAAGAAGACCAATATGCCAAACCCTGTCAAATGCCTTTGAGATCTCCAAAACAACAGCATGAGCCTCACCATTCTTATTTAAAACATGATAAACCTTTTCATCAATAATCATTAACACATCAGCAGTTGACCTAATGAAGCAAAAGCCATTCCTCACCCAGTTCAAAGATTTAAGTTTAAATGTAATGTATATTGAATTTCAATGGGTTTTAATGTTGATATGTACATTTAATGTGCTTTGAACTTCTTTCAAAAATATTCTAATTAATGACCTTTAAAAATATCTCGAGTCACACCTAAGATCCTCACGCGGCACAAAGAACTGGTCTATTCTTTGACTTTTTTTTATTCAGTTCTGTTTGGATCCAAAAGTATTATACCACTTCTAAGAATTGATTTTTTCTTAGAACTGTAAGCCAATAAGTGCTGGATAAAATTAGAGTGATTCTATTTTGATTTTTGCTTCTGTTTCAATGTAGCTCAAACTTTACATAAATATCTTTTTGTAGGTTTTGTTTTTCCTTTATTTTATATATTTTAAAATATTGTTTTTTTTTGGGGGGTGGGGGTAAGTAATATTTTTCTATTGTTTTTTACCCGTTACTTTTAACGGCTAAAACACAATAGAAAAATATTACGATAAAAAATTTTATTTTACATTCCGATATTTATCGATTAGTTTCTGAAGTCCTAACTCGTCGATAAGACGTAAATATTTACAATAGTTGAGTTATTTAACATTTCAGTGATACTAAATTAAACGAAAAAAACACTTGTAACCTCTGCGCACTGTTTTCATTTATGTGTCGCGTACCTTCAGGGAGCGAAATATCATGGCTCTCCACAGCTTCCTATCGCCGTAGATTTAAGTAACGTTTGCTTCTTTACTCTACCCCCTAATCCATATTTCCCCCCGCCCCACTGTCCCGTTTGACTTCAAGGCTTACTGCCGTATCACGTTGAAACAACAGTTCTCGCAAGATCACTGAAGTTAAGCAAAGTCAAGCCTGATCAGTACATAGATGGGTGACCGTTTGGGAATACCAGGTTTTATAAGCTTGGATGTGTAGGTGGTGTAATGCATAAAGGATCGGAGTTGGAAATTGGAGAGCCGAGTTCCAGTTGGCTTCGTTATATTCAATTAATTCGCAAATACATTTGGAAAAGCATGAACCCACCTATTCGCCACTCCTCCCCCATCTAAAGGTTTACTCATGCAAGTCCTACTAATGTAATAGTTGTATAAGTAAATTATTATTATATCAAAAAAAAAATATCCTACAATCTAAAAAATATTTTCTGGCTTTTAATAACCTGCACAGGGTTGATAAACCGTAAAAACAAATTAATCAATTTTGCCTTCAATATGTCCTGCGGGTTTCAGATTTTCTAAACCCTCTTTCCTCATTATGTATCTCAAAATATTTAAACTCTGAGTACAAGTAACCTTTTTTTTTTCTATTTCCATTGGAGCTTTCTCGTTGCTCACAGACTCTGTCCATCATATTCTCTAAACTGTCCAACATTCGACGTCATATGGAAGGATTCATATGAAATAACTGTTCAGCATTCTTTTCTTTGTTTCTTACTAAAATTTTCCCGTTTCTTAATAATCTGTTTAGCTTTTGGAAAGCGCCTTCGGCTATTTCTCTGTTATATTTTCCATCGTCTATTAAAACACTTCCCAAACAGGAATATATAAGAAATGTCCAAGGCCGTATCACCAAAACACTCTGCTGCTGTCGACTGCTGCGGAAAGTTGTAAACAACGTGTGGCGCTGCCCTAGTAGTCGCTGAACGTATAAATGATGATTGATTCAAAAACGTACGGGACCATAGATGTTGTCGGACCATTAGAGTGGATTAAAGAGGTCTGACTGTAGTCCTTTCTCATTGCTTTCTATTGCTACCTTGTTTAAAAGTACTTTTAGTTTTTCTTTCCTGAGTCTACCAACAATGAAGCTTCATCGGCGTATTTTACAAGGTCGAATTTACTGCTTATAAACTTGTCTACCGAACGCTTCTTTGTGGCCGATCGGTAAGGCACGTCAGCGTAAATGACGGTTCCGTATAGGATGCAGGTTCGAATCCTGTCAAAGAACGAATATTTTCTATGAAAATTTCTCGGACATTCAGGCCGGTAAATGTTATTTAATACTGTTTATTATAAACAGAGCATTTACTTAAATACTTGTATCTATAAAAAGAACGTTAAACATAAAAAATGTCTTTAATAAATAAATTGTTGGACTTTGTCCATTTATATATATAATATATATATATATATATATATATATATATATATATATATATATACTTTCTATGCATAAGTATATTAAGATAGTGCATGGTATTATGACCCCTTGTTAAACTTTAACTCACTCTACATGAGATTATTTTCAAACTTTATAACCACTGGATAAATATATATTTATATACATATATATATATATGTGTGTGTGTGTGTGTGTGCGTGTGTGTGTGTACAGAGCATAATACTATACGAAACGACAGTGGAGATGATGTGACAAAGAGTGAAAGCTTATAAACGACGCCTTTCGCTGACGTGTGTCTAAGCTACTTCAGGTACTACGCAAGTACTTTCGACTTTACCGTCAGTCATCTTCAGAATTCTGAAGATGACTGAAATACCACATATTTGATATATATATATATATATATATATATATATATATATATATATTCTATACGAGGCACGATGGCGTAATGGATAGCGTCTTGCATCGGAGAGCTGAGTTCGAATTCCAGTCGAATTTTACATTCACTTACGTGCTAATACCCTTGGGAATACCCTGAATCGTCTTCTTCTTCCACAAATAGTAGGACAGACTGAGTTCTATAGCCTTAGGAGAAGGACAACTCTGAATTCAAAACCTGAGCAGGGTCGTTTGGGGACCTTGTGGCACGTAGTGCACAAAATGTCTGTATTCGGCTCCTCAAAAAAGTGTGGATGGTCCTGCACGAAACCTTCATCACTATAATCAAATCTCATCTCGGTTTCCTAGGGAGAGTCGAGTATATATATATATATATATATATATATATATATATATATATATATATTAGTATATATGAAGAAGCAGCAATATTATTACTAATACATTATTATATTACTCACAAGCACACAAACATATATATATATATATATATATATATATATATATGTTTGTGTACTTGTGAGTGTATTAGTAATAATACTATATGTATATAATCATTATTATGCCATTATATCTATGGATGGATAGATGTACGTACGTATGTATGACTTATTTTATAATCTTTCTCATAACTTTACATCCCAAGTTCCGGTTTATCCGGATGACGTTCTCGGCGATTTGCCGAGAGTGCTGACACATGTTGCATGCCGGTAAGTCACATCCGGTTAGTGTCAATGACGCCTTGATGATGCCATCATTAGATTGAAGAGAGGCTGACTCGAACTACGGAAGTCATTGAAGATCCGCTTCTGAATTAGACAAGATTTAACATCCAAAGTAGTTAGAACGTAAAGAAATTGTTTATTTTATTGGAGCTCTCGTTCGCTTCCGTTTCTTTGTTCAACGGCCATAGAGGGAATTTCTCTTCTGTTCTTCAGTCTCTTATCCTTCGTCGCTTTTTTTTTTTTTCTTATTTTCATTTTCATTTTATTCTTTTATTTATTTTTTCCAGAAATTGTAGATTTATATAAAAGATAACCTTGAGAAAGTAACAAAGAAACAGGGAAAAAAAGACGAAACAAGAAAGAAAGAAAGAAAGAAAGAAAGAAAGAAAGGGTAATTGTAGAAATAAAGAGTTGTGTGGATGTATAAAGAAATAATATAAAGATGGAATTTAAAAGAATCTAATAATCGATGAATTAATAAAGGAAAGAAACGGAATGAATCTAATAAAAAGAATGCATCAAAAAATTAAGAAAGAAAGAAAGAAAGAAAGAAAGAAAGAAAGAAAGAAAGACGAGTAAATAATGAAATAAATAAAGAGTGGAGAAAAGAAGAAAATAAAGAATTTAATATAATGGGTACAGGAAAGAATACGATCTCCATACAATGGAAAGAAAGAAAGAAAGAAAGAAAGAAAGAAAGAAAGAAAGAAAGAAAGAAAGAAAGAAAGAAGTATTTCAGGGGAAAACTGTCAAAGAGAAATACTTTAAACAATTAAGAGAAACGGGAGAAATATGTATAAAGGGAGATTATCACAATAATGTTTCGCTAAATAACAGGTTTATAATAGATAGCTAGATAGATAGATAGATAGATAGATAGATAGATAGTGACGACATGAGATTCACACTGAAAAATCCCTTTCCAATGCATTTTCTTAGTAAAATTCCTTTCCAATGTATTTTCATAGTAAATTCACTTTCTAATGCATTTTCATAATAAAATCACTTTCCAGTGTATTTTCATAGGATCAATATTTACAGGCCTGAAGATCGTATTGAAATGTCAAATTGACCCATATATATATATATATATATATATATATATATATATATATATATATATATATATATATAGAACGAAAGTAATAAATAAATTCTAACGTTCAGAGTATTAATTATAATTATTCATCATAATTTTATCATATAGACAGAAACAGATTATTCACTACAAAGATGTAACTTCGTTTCAGTGCATCTCAATTGCACCACGACTGGCGAGAACCAAAAATAGTTATGAACAATTCTCCTTGTAAGCAGAATTATTCCTAACCATTTTTGGTTCTGCTTACAAGCATTACAACCATTTTTGGATCGCACCAGTTGAAGTGACATTGAAATGCACCGAAACGAAGTTGCATCTCTGTAGTGAAAACTGTAAACTGTATTTTGTCTATTATAAAATTATAAATATATATATATATATATATATATATATATATATATATATATATACCCTGTCTGAGTAGGCTTGGTGTTGAACACTTTTATTTACTGCATAAGTAGGTGTTTATCTTTTATTCTTTTTTTTTCTTTATTAATTTGAAAATATTTCTTGTCTAATTTCTCTTTTTTCTTTTTTGTTGTTGTTTTTTTTTTACATCTTTTGGCAGGTAGGTCTTTTGGCAGGTCGCACAAACGTTTTGCATCAATATATATATATAATTGTGCTTTTTGGCAGCAATCCCTCTCTAATACATGTTTAGTTAATTACGACTGACAAAGTAATTCGTTTAATTTCTTTTTGTATTCTGCGAACAAAAGCTTTCATTTTGGAATTTAATGGTCAATTTATACTCTCTCTCTCTCTCTCTCTCTAAGATCAAAAGTGAACGCTCATATTCCCATACAAAAAATATTGTATTATATATATATATATATATATATATATATATATATATCCATGCCCACAAACAGAATCGAACTTAAACAAAGAACCAAGGCAATAGGAGTGTGTGTGCGCATGTGTGCATGCGTGTGTGAGGAAGTGTAAGTTTCTCTGGCGGCGAAGGCGGTAGATATGTAAAGCGCCAAGAACACTCTACTCGCACCTTGTTGAAAGGAACATTGCTACGTATAATAAAAGCTAAGGTCTCGACACCGAAATAGAATTAACATTGTGTATGCATGTATGCCCGAATGCATGGATGTGTATCTGTGCCTAGCCTCGGATTGTTTATATGTATGTGTTTGCGTGAACTGAAATGGGTACACCTGTATGTATGTGTGTCTATGTGTATGTGAGTGTCACCGCAAACAAAGACAGAAGTTGATTCCCCCTCCTACCAAACATAGTCAAACATAGATTCAATTTTAAAAATTAAACCAGTTTGTCTGATGATTGCAAAGGCGTAAAACCCAGTATCACAAACTCATATCCATACAACTCAATATATATATATATATATATATATATATATATATATATATATATATATATTGATTCAAATGACTGACTTATTAGTATAGATTATATAAATAACCAAGCAGTAAGATTAGAGCAGTACTCGGTATGCGAAATAAAAGACTACTGCTGTAATGGTAAAATATGTAGGCAAGCACACTTTGTAACAATATATATACTTTCTATTTACGTATCTCAGCCTAGTTTGGCATAAGACCAATTTATCGGATCAATCACGGCAGAATATACGGCACGAGTAAATTATTTTCTGAACCAAGCTTGCTAAGCATCACTTGACTTAACGAAACATTTATGGGTCATCCCCTATAGAAGAATCTTACGACACTGACCGATCGGTAAAAGTGACAAGCTTGCTCATCACTACGCCGAAAAATATCTCAGCCTGTTCAAAAAAGGATTCCAATATAAATGTTTGGTCATTTGCCTAGATTTCGAGAAATGGGGCCAGAAATTTACGTCACCTTCTCCGATGAGGATTCTTCCTTATCAGGCTTTTCTCACTCCCGAAATAAAATGCACCGCACCCCGAGTCAGACATTCCTCAGATATCACTAGCATCGAGATTTTAATTAGGAATAGTGTTGCGTTTAGTATCGTTTTTTGTTGTTGTTTTTGTTCTAGTAGTCTATCGGTATTTCCTCAGTAGGATCCCCAACGCTGCATCACAGATTGGATGAACAACAGACAACTTTCCTTTGTTTTCTTTTCTTTTTTCCCTCGCTTTTTTCAGTGGTAGTGAGGTGTATAATAGGCATCATTTCTTGGAAGAGCGAAAGGAGACGGAAAAGGAAGAGAACGAATTTAAACACAGAAAAAGAGGGGGGGAGAGAGGGTGAGTTCATGAGAGAAAAGTGTAAGAGAGTGAAAGGGAGACAAACAGATTAAGAGAGAGAGAAAAAAAAGGAGTGGAGAAGTGGGAGTTTTAAAAGAAAAGGAGAAAGAAATCTTATGAGAAGACAAAGTTTCAAGAGAGGAAGCGAAAAAGAAGGTAAGACTAAAAGAGAGGCAGTGGGGGGCTTTAAGAAAGAAAGAGAAAATTAAGATTGTAAGCGAGATGAGAATTTTAGGAAAGTGAGAAAGAGTCGGAGAAAGGAAGAAACTTACTTGTGGGAGAGAAAGACAGTGGGAGAGAGAGAGAAGAAACGTTTGTGAGGGAGAAGGAGGTAAAGTTTTTTTTTGTTTTTTGTTTTTTTGTTTTCTGGTTGAAACCCTCGCTTAGCTGAGAGTTTTTCCCGCTGTTAGGTTCAGCACTTCGATTTTTTGCTCATAACCATAGTTGGAGTGGATTCCACTCTAATTTTCAATTCAGAGTTGTCTTTCCTTGATGAGGGGAAACTCAATGAGCTTGCGAAAGCATATCCTCTCTCCTGGTTTTACGCGTCATATTCAGTTGAAACAAAGGTCATCGCAAGGTCACCGAAGTGAAGCAACGTCGAACCTGGTCAGTACCTAGATGGCTTGAGAATACCAGGTGGCGTAAGCATCAATGTGCGGATGGTATGACGGATAATGGCTCGGAATTTGAAATCGGAGAGCAGAGTTCTAATTCCAGTTTTGTGCGTTAGGTTCACTTACGCTCAAATAGCCTTGGGAAAGGTAATAATCTAGTTCTTTAGCCCCCAGCTTTTTGGCTATTTTGGAAGGACTTGTATTAATATATAATTATGTCTTCAAAACATTCTTACAATATAAAAATATGTCCCGGCTTTAAATAAACTGTAAAGGTTTTATAATCCGTTAAAACAGATCAAACCTGGGCTTAAGTGACCGACAATGAAGTACTACTAAGTTGACTTTGCCTACAGTGTTTCGCCGCATCCCCAATGATCGAAGACCCATGCATTCCTTACTTCTCGTGCAGGGTTTGTCGATAAAATAACACAACTTCTAGGTTTGTCAGATTACGGATATTAAAAGAAAAGGAGCTTCAGGAGATTCATGAACGACTCTGTCGTAAAGAGACATAGATGTTAACGAGGATGCTGTTAAAATGTTATTTGAAGTTATAGAAAAAAATGTGAGTTTACCGGTTGCCGACTGAAATTCTGGAGACTCAAGATCGAATCGGTCATATTGATTTTTTTTTCTGGAAAAATAGAACTCAATTTATCTCGGAGGGAAGTGGAAAAAATATTGACTTTTCAAACTGAGAACCTGTATGATCTTTTCTAAACTTGAAGGGTTGCCAAAATTATCCTTTAAGCAAGGTGTCTTTTGACATATTTACAATGCTGAACTTAGTTCGGTAAAAAAAAAAAAAAAGCAGCCAAAGGTGACTTTCTAAAAGTGAATTTACTGCAAGTATTTACGTATCTGATTTTTTTTTTCTTTCTTCTATTAACTTTTTTTTTAGGGTGGGGTCGGATTTTTTTATGAAAGAAACTGTATTGGAAATTAGGATTTGTTGTTTGGTCATATCGACCGTAGGGACACGTTCTTACCGATTTTGCAGCTCTGGTCTTTGGGCATTTTTTTTTTTTTTACTTTTCTACTTCTTTATCAATACTTTCATGTTTCTCTTCTTTTTCGTCTTTCTTTTCCTTTTTCTTCTTGTTTATCATTTTTTTCTTCGGCTTTTTTGTCTAGCGTTTCTTTTTTGGCCGCTTTGCTCTCTTCTTTTTTTATATTTTCTTTAATGATTTGATTCTTTGTCTACCTTCTCACATTTCTTTTCCTTTCTTTTTTTTCGACTTTTCCTCCATTTTTTCCCATCCATTTTTCATCTTTTCCGTTTTTCTTTTTCTTTTTTCTCTTTCAACTTCTTTCATTTTTATCTTTCTAGCTTTTCTTCCCATTTTGTTCTTTCTAACTTTTCAGTTACCTTTTCCTTTTTCTTCTTCACCTTTTTTTCTTGTTTTTTTTTATTATTATTTTATTTTTCTTTACTTTTCACTTCGTTCTTCTTTCCATTTTGATTTTTTTCGTTTGCCTTCTTCCTTCCTTTTTTATCATTCATTTTATCTTCACCTTTTGACCTTTTGCTATTTTCAATTTTTGCAATTTTTCTTCTTTTTCGTCTTTTAAATATTTCTCTCTCTCTCTCTCTCTCTCTCTCTCTCTCTCTCTCGTTCACTTTCTTCACTGATTTTCTTCTTTTTTTCTTATGCCTCACTTTACTTTTTACTTTGTTTTTCTTTTCTTCGTTTTTTTTTTATCTATTTCCATTCTTTTTTTCATCTTTTACAGTAACTGATTTTTTTTCTTTCTATTTTTTTCTTTTTTCTTTCATTCCTTTTCTTCTTCAATTCTTTAATTTTAGATTTCCTTCTCTGTTTTGATTTCTTACTTTCTGTTCCATTTTCTTTTTTCTTCTTCATTTTTCTCTTCGTCTTTTTTCACCTTTCTTTTCTATCATTCTTCTTCTTTTGCTATTTTAAATTTTTCTCTTTTTTGTCTTCATTCAAATATTTCCTCTCTTTCCTTCACTATCATCCCTTAATCTTTCTTCTTCTTCTTCTTCTCCTTCTTTTCCTCCACCACCATCCCCACCACACCTCCTCCTCCTCTTCCTCCTCCTCCTCCTGGTCTGAAGAAATAATAGGGTAATTTAATATTAGCAAAATATAGCCTACCTAGGGCCATTAAGAAATTAAAATTTCATTAGAAACAAAGAAAAGCCTACCAAACTGTTACGGATTATCTGTTCTCCTCTATGGCAGGGAATGTTGGACAATCTCCTCAGAGATGAAGAAGAGACTTGAAGCAACAGAAATGTGGTTCTACAGAAGGATGCTTAGAATATCGTGGACCGAACATATGAGCAACGACGAGGTTTTAGAGAAAATGGGAAAAAGGGAAACTTACATTTAATATCAGGACGAGAGAGTTGAACATTCTCGGGCACATAATGAGGAAAGAAGGCTTGGAAAATCTGATACTCACAAGACATATTGAAGGCAAGAGAGACAGAGATAAACAACGCGTAAGATAATGAGCTTGAATAAATGTATGGCGAAACATGGTTTCATAGAAATAACAAAAAGTCAAATTGATTAAGAGATGTCTATATTTCTGAGATGAGGTATTATGTACACTATTTACATTATTCGGACTATTGTCTGCATCTTTGTTCTTGAGGATACATGGTACAGTGGATAAAGGCGTTGGTTAGATCCAGTGACAGGACCAAAAGAGTGTGAGTTCAATACCTGGTTAAGGTGGTGGAGAACTTGGAGAGGGGAATTAACAGGAGATAACTGATAACTGACATCCATTAAACATGGCACGTGGAACTAGAACTGTCTACCCCAGTGAGCGAAATACAGGGTTCAGTTCGACATTCCAACCAACTGAAGAAGGCCGAAGCGTACAACGACCGAAACGTTGTAATAAATATGGCGACAAAAATGAGGAAAATAGTCCGAATAATGTAAATAATGATTAAGAGCTACCAGGGAAAGGAAGTTGTGGAGAGCCATGATCGCCTACGTCCTGAGGGGACACGTTACATGAGGAAGAAGAATGCCAATGGCATTTCAGACCCCTTCAAAGTACTCCTCTTGGTACACACTTATATCTACATCCTTTCGACTTTTCCAAACGTCATTTATCATTTCCATCCCTAGCCCAGTGTACAGATGGTGAGCTGGTCACTTGTATTCGAGGATCCCTGTCTGCTAGCCAATCCCTATTGCAGACGCTTGCTCAGGCGTATCTGTGTTTATTCAAGACCCATAGACCCCACCTGTGGTTTATAGTGCAACTATGCTGAGCAACTATGCTTTAGTTACAGTTTATCCAGCATGATCCACAATTTGAACAAGGCCAGCACGCTCAAATTCTCGGCCACGATGACTTGAGACTTCGTGCTAGCACAGATATCGACGGCACACAAGGCTTGGCTCAAACCATAGTATGGTTGTCAGGCACTTTCCAAAGGTATCGCATGCTGGGATCGTCCCCTCCGGTCCGATAACATCAGGAATTCTCCTTCCTGACAAATCGACCATGGTGAGATTCGAACCCGGGTCGTATTGTCAGAATGGGAACTTTTACTCAGCCATAGGTATACATAGTTGAGATAAGAATTATCTTAACAATAATCGATATTCTTTTCCAAGTATTCTGATATCTTCATAAAATCGCCTAATTATCAAATAGGACTGATTGACCTATTTTTACGGTATATCAACCTTTTACATGTTATTTAAAACCAGAAATATTTTTAGATTCTATGAATATTTTGGAGGTAATAATGATTTAGTGAGATAAGTCTTACTAATTAACCTACACCTGGGGGGAAAAGAGGTGGCTTCATGCCTTCCTTTCCAAAGGATATTTGCACGTAAGTGAATATAACAAACTCGACTGGAATTGGAACTCGGCTTTCCGAGTTCCAATTCGAAGCAGTTATCCATTGCGCCAGTCGCACATCCAAACTTAAAGCACCTAGTCTTCCCAAGAGGTCTACCATTTAGGCATTGACAAGCCTGGACGTTGCTTAACGTCGGAGTTCATACGAGAACCGGTGTTTCAGCGGGATATGGCCGTAAGCCGGGAAAACAAGAAAGCTATTTTCTATTAGACACGCTTCGGATGTTGTATTTCTCAGATCAATAATTAAAAATGGCTGAATGAATCGTGTAGATCATAGAGACAACCATGTTTCCTTAAATCTTGTGGACTGGTGCTTCTTTCTTTTTATGTGCCATGTCCTTTCAGGACGTAGGCGATCATGGCTCTCCATCTCCCTCTATCTCTTGCAGCTCTCAACAAGTTCCTTCCCTCTGCTTCCTCCCCCAGACAACGTTCTGTCATCCACTTGCTTAAGCCCGCCAGGTATGTCACACGTTGTTTTCCCTTGTCTCTCTTTCCCTCTATCTGACCCGTGAGTATCAGATTCTCCAGGCCCTCTTTCCTCATTATGTGTCCCAGAAACTTCAGCTGCCTCTTCCTGATGTTAAGTATAAGCCTCCTCTTTGTTTGCAGCCTCTCTAAGATCTCATCGTTGCTCACACGCTCGGTCCATGATATCTTCAGCATCCTTCTGTAGAATCACATCTCTGTCGCCTTGAGTCTCTTCTTCATCTTTGAGGAAATCGTCCAACATTTGCTGCCGTAAAGAAGAACAGATGTCACGTAATAGCTCAGTATTCTTTAGTTTGTTACCAAAGAAATCCTCCTGTCTGGCAATACTCTGCCTAGCTTTTGGAATACGTCCTTGGCCATCCCAATACGTCTACGGATATCAGTGTAGCATTTACCGTACTCTGTCAAGACGCTTCCTAGATATTTAAACTTTCGCGTCTGCTTGATTCTAGTGTTCCCGACTTTCAAATCGGATTTCGGGTTTATTTCTGTCTTCTTGTAGTTTATGCTTAGTCCTTTCTTCACACTCTCCGTCGCTACCTTCTGTAGAAGATTTTGTAATTTCTTTTCCGTGTTTTCTATCAGTACTGTGTCATCTGCCTATCTTATGTTGTTAAGATTGTGACCGCCAATGCTAAATCCCGGTAGGATTTCGAGTTCTGTCAGAATTGCCTCACTGTATAGGTTGAACAGGTCCGGTGAGAAGATGCATCTTTGCCTTATGCCCCTTTCTATTTTTGTATATTCACTAAACTCTTTCCCTATGCGTATGCATGCTGTTTGCTGCCAGTATAGGTTCTTGATTATTCTAATATCTTTCCCGAATATATCAAGGTTGCTGAGCAGTTCCAACGGATCCTTGTTGCGTAATTTGTCGAAGGCCTAGTCTATGAATCATAGGTACACGTCTTTCTGCATCAGTATCGCTCTTTTTGGTAACATTCTGGTGCTACAGAAGTATAAACAAAGAACTGTACCAAATAAGAGAAACCGTATCACTTGAAAACTTCCAACAGCAGCAACAACTAAAATGGATAGCAAATGCAATTTTAAGGGAATATAACGACATTACCAAGATGTTACTTTTCCACACTATCTTAAACAAAGCGTTATGAATGAAGCCTGATACTACAAGGAGCGATAATTGTTAGCAGACTTGAGAAAATCTGTTTTAATAGAAATATGCATTTATAAATTTCAACCGATAGTAACGCAGTTAGGTCGATGAGTGCATAATGTTTCCTGAATGGAAACGGTTATTCTTACCATTAGTGTTATCATCATCTGCCTTGTCGTCTTCCCGGACACCGCCTGAAATATCCTCCTTTTCAAAGACGATTTTACTTTCAGGAAAGACCCAGATGTCATAGGGAGTTACATATGGACAAACAGGATGGTTAGGTGACAAAAAAAGGTTTATGCTAGTATTTCGCTATTTTAATTTTTTTTTTTTGCTCTTTTTTCTGATTTTTCTTTCTTCCTTTAGATATTACCTCTCTTTCGTTTACCTTCTTCTTCTTCTTCTTCTTCTTCTTCTTCTTCTTCTTCTTTGTTTCTTATCTTTGTCAACGACCTTTCCGTTGTCATCAGTTCCCAACTAAGTATTTATGCTTAAGACAAAATCGCTATCTTCTGTTCACCATAGAGACCCCCCATGCCTTCCACCAGCATGGCTGATGCTAACCTCCAAAAGAGCAACTCTTGGCGCTTTTTTGATCTCACATTTCCCACTGATATATTGAATCACTTGATACATCTACTGCTAGAAAAGTTGGTTCAATATGTCGTGCCAGACAAAGTTTCTCGACATAATCCATCTGGCACATCTATAAATTTACCATTCGTCCCTGCATTGAATACTGCAGCCATTATCTAGTCTGGCGCTCCAGCAATATATCTCGAGATTTTCGATAATATCCAAAGAAGGGTCTCTAAAATTATTGATCCTGACCTGACATCTCGACTTCAGTCACTTTCCCACTGTTATGAAGCGAACTTCCCTCTGTTTGTTCCTATAAATATTTTCATGGCAGTTTTTTTTTTCTAATGGGATCCTACTCCTTTGTAAATCGATTGCATACATTTAAGCGTACAATTTTGATTGGCTTTTAGTTTTCGTCGTTTTACTGTTACTGATATTTCTATTATAATAGTTATTTTTTCTTACTTTTCGACCCTTCTCTTCCGGTATTCTCTTCCGGCTTCTTACTTCATAGCCACCTCATGTCTCCCTGAAACCCGTTCTTTGATCGTCCTTACTCTCCACTAAAAGTCCTCTCATTCTCTCTTATTCCCAGTGACCCCTTGCGTCTAACTGGTATTATCGGCTTTCTAGGGGTGAAATACATACATACATACATACATACATACATATATATATATATATATATATATATATATATATATATATGAAAATTTCTCCGATTTAACCAGTAGAGAAGACAACATTATGAATAAAAATGACAATAGGAAAACTAGTAATTGTTGACGCGTTTCATCCAATTTTGCTTTGATAAAGTCCACATTGGACGAAAAGCGTCAGCAATTACTAGTTTTCCTATTGTCATTTTTATTTATATATATATATATATATATATATAGACATTTTTTTTTGTTTTTACGTTCTTTTTATAGATACAAATATTTAAGTAAATGCTCTTTTCATAATAAACAGTATTAACAAAATTTACCGGCCTGAATGTCCGAGGACGCATATTTTCTGTGAAAATTTCTCGGGCGTTTAGGCCGGTAAATGTTGTTAATACTGTTTATTATAAACAGAGCATTTTACTTAAATATTTGTGTCTATAAAAAGAACGTATAAACATAAAAAATGTCTTAAAAATAATTGTCGGACTTTGTCCATTTCATAATGTATGAGGTCATTTGTTTACATTTGGATACGCATTGAGCAGATATGAGTGAATGAGTTAAAATCATGGAGAATTGTGTTTAAAAACAGTATAATCGACCGTGCTAACCGAGCGCTCCTCTTTGGCACAATCGGGCAAGGCACATCGGTTCAGTATAGGATACAGGTTCGATTCCTGTCGGAGGAAGCATATTTTCTATGAAATTTTCTCGGACATTCAGGGCGGTAAATGTTGTTAATACTGTTTATTATAAACAGAGCATTTACTTTACATGTTTTTGTTTTTTGTTTTTTTTTTTTTGGTTCTCACCAGTCGAGGTGCAAAGAAATGCACCGAAACCAGGTTGCATGTTTGTAGTGAGTAAATTGTTTTCTATATGAAAAAATTTTAATAAATAATTATTTAATAATAAATCTTGGTATTTAGTCCTCTTTTAAATTAATGCTGTGAACGTTAGAATTTATATATTATTTTTCATTACATTCGGTATATATGTGTGTGTGTGTGTGTGTGTGTGTGTGTGTGTGTGTGTGTGTGTGTGTGTGTGTGTTTAAACCAAAAGATTGCCCATGTGCGCCACTTATAATATGTAGATTTAATATAGCAGTTAATGAAATTTGAGGAATAAAGAGACAACAAAATGATAACAATATTGGCAATAAGATTGATGATATTTATTATATATTAGACATTTGACTAAATTGAACTACAAAGAGAAAGATTTTAAAGTCGGAATTTTCGGACACGCCTGTGTCCTTTTCCAACGAGACGAGGCATACACAAAGAAGTGGGACTCACTCTTCCGAGGATTTTTGTTGGTGGTGGTCATGGGGCTCACAATGGAAGCGATATTCTCTGAGTAAAACCAACTCTCTGTTTAATCCTTTAGTATATGATTTTATTCTGAAAATATATTTTAACTCGGATCTACGTTTCTCTTGTCAGCTCTTAAATGGAGACGCTAAAAGCACTCATCTGATATATATATATATATATATATATATATATATATATATATATATATATATACCTTCACCACTATAAACAAATCTCATGTGCCGGTGTCGGGACGTCGGTTTCCTGGGGACTTATCGGCCTGACCCTCATACATCGAACGCGTCGGGAGAGTCGATTATATATATATATATATATATATATTGTACATTTAAGCAGCAATCCCTCATTTATACATGTTTCATTAAAAACGACAGACAAGATACTACGATTAAGCTTTTTATTTAATTTTTCTTGTGTTCGAACAAGTGTTTTCTTTTTTGTACTCAGACTGTGTAGAAATTGTCCAAATGTTCTATAATTCCAAGCGCGTTCCGTTATACTTTTACCCATTATCAAGGATGATTTTATTTATTCAGTCTGTGTGCGTTGTGTATGTTTTTAGTGTTATAGAAATGTTTTATTTTCTGATCATATTCGTCACATTGTGGCCGTGTTCGTAGGTAATATTATTAAGTATTGGCTTTTTCTTTTTTTATTATTAAGACTTCCATTATTTTTTTAATCTTTTTTAAAGGTGAATCAGGTTATTATTTGTGTATTTTCTACTAGTTTATTTTGGATAGAGTCTGGTTAGTTTGTGTCTGTGTTTAAATGGGTTCTAACAGAGCTGTGGTCAGATAGGTGTAAAGTAAGACGTCTGGATAGGCGTGTAGTAGTGCGACCGATGTAATTATTTATGAATTCCGTTTGATCAGAAACACAGTTCCTTAAGGGGCATTTGAACTCATAGTTAATTTTCGTTCGTTGTAATTTTGACTTTGCTGGTGTGTTGTTATTTTTGAGGATAAAGTTAGCTGTTTTAATTTTATTTTTTATTCGGATCAGTTGGAGTAGTGTATTTCTTTATAATATTCCTAAGTGAAGATTCGTCTTGTTTGTAGTTAACGTGCATTTGGTTTTGTAGAAGATTTTCATGGATTTTTTGACTGTGTGTTCACTATCGTTGTTATTTACTCTGGGGAGAAATTTGGTGGTCTATAAGGTGGTTAGGGAAGCCATTGTTAATTAGTGTCGGTTTTATATTATTGTGTTCTTTAAGGAAGAGTAGTCGAGAGGATGAATTCTGGTGTGCTCTTTTTCGGAGTAATAAAAAAACTTCCTAAAAAGAGCACACCAGAATTCATCGAAATGGGAATGTTCATCCCTATATATACTAGAACTATCCGTAGTTTATTAAATAGCACCAGCAACCAACATATTACATCCGATGCTTGCATCTACCAAATCTCATGCAACAACTGTGACTTAAAATATGTGGGTGAAACATGGAGGTCCGTAAAATCTCGTGTTTTCGAACATAAACGAGATATTCGCCTCGGAAATTTAAACAATGCTTTAGTTGTACACACAACTAAAGCAGATCATAATTTCGATTTTGATTCCGTGAAGATTTTAAAATATTTTCATAATAAAATTGTTAGGCGGATTTATGAAGCAGGCATAATATCCATCTCACGCACGGTGAATACTAGACCTGGTTTCTTTAATATTTCCCCTTTTCTAGCGAGATTAATGCTCGACAAGCGTACATATAAATTTTAGTTCAAAATAGAATTCTTTTCATTTTTCATTCAAAATACTCAAAATTGTAGGAATACGTTTTCACAGCGTCGCCCACGTAACGACAACGTGACCATGTTTTAAACGGAGCGCTGATCTTATAAAACTTTCAGTTATTGTTTGGATAAGTCTTGTTCTAATGTACATCGTCTTTGTCATGTTGTATTGATAATGTTATATTTATGAATATGTCCTGAAGATGGTTTATTAGACCGAAACTTCAGACGTTGACATATTAACATTAAAGCAGCATAATCGTATATAAGGATTTTTGTTTTGTTCTTTTTTCGTATATATTTTTCTTCATATATATATATATATATATATATCAAAATAAGACATCTGACAGTGTTCCTGCTGCACTTGGATACAATACATTCTCCTGTACGTTATGTGGCCTTTTGTGTGTGGGTTTGTGTAGATATGTTACGCATTTGTAGTCACATCGGAAGCTGTCACTAATTTGTAATCAATTCAAAAATGTTCTCATCGTATGTTTACGAAGTCAAAAATATTTCTATTTGGTAAATATCTGCCAATCTCAAGTAAAGAAAAGGAAGGAAAATGTAAAAATAAAAGAAAAAAGTAAAAACAAAATGGCCATAGGTTCCGAGGGATGATTCTTCATACAATCATGTGAATTCTTTTCAAAGAGATCAGCCCAATTAGTAGAAAAGCTGCAGACGAACAAAAAATGCGCCTGGCTGACAGCACGTAACCTCGAAGCAACAGAAATGACTAAAACGTCATGGCGTCAGTTTTCATCGTTCACAAAGCAAACAGTTTAAAAATAGATAAAAAAAAATGGCTGAAGATACGTTCTCTGGATGATTACGACGACACAGATGTACAAAATGGAAGCTTTGAAACGACGAAAACTTTTGTGCTAATCTTTGTTTAAAACGTACACCTTGTAATTGCTGATAAATTAATCTGATTTTTTGTAATACAGGTTTAGAATAATAATAATTATATATATATATATATATATATATATATATATATATATATATATTGTGTGTTTATTTAGGCAGCATTTTTTCATTGATACATGTTTCATTAAATAATATAGACAAGTGTTGTCTATTTATTTTATGTAAATTATTTTCATAACATCTGATAAGCTTAATAACATTATCATTAAACGAAGAAAGAAAATTACAATATTGATGCATATTTTTTAATCCAATCTAAGCTTTCGGCTTACATAAGCCATTATCAATGATGACAATTACTGTACAATATATTAAGCAATACACGGACAAAACAGTGATGATAGTTTGTGATTGTTTACATGGATGATATCCTAGCAACGTTAAACACGTGCATATAAGACGCTAGAAGCGAAAATCGCACCGCAGCTCATGACGTTACACATGACCACGCGAGAGTGAATTCGAGAAGTATGAAGTATGGGAAGCCGTTGGTATAAACAAATGGCTTCTGTTACCAATTATAGACATTTAAGGATATTTGTAGAGATTCCATAGTTGATTTTCTTTAGGTTGGGTTTCAACTGTTTGATGTCTATTGCTTCAAGGATTTTTAGTTTTTGTCTATTGTTTTCATGTCGAAGTATAATTGTGTTTTCGACGAGGATTTTACGGAATTGTGTGTGCGGCCAGGCACGTTGTTTTAAATGCCTAAAATGTTATATATATATATATATATATATATATATATATATATATATATATATATATATGAATGAATATGCACACTGTGTTATGTTTATCAAGCTTTTTTCTCGCTAGATCAATTAATTATGACTGAGAAGGAAGTGCGATTCCTACAGGTTGTTCCATGCTTCGACCTTTTGCAGCATTAAAGCTACGCTTAGTAAATGTCTTAAACACTTAAGACAAAACAAAAAAAATATGAAAAAGTTATTATTGTAACTAAGTTATCAAAAACAACAGTAGAAACTGGAATTAGTTTAACAAGTTTATTACCTTTTGATACCAGGAAATAATGTAACATAGAAACTAGAAAGGAGAATGTTTAGCCGTAAATGACTGTTTTCATCAGAAGCTACTGCTGCTGCTACTCCTCCTGATATTCCTCTTGATGTAGGCATATTTTTATGTCTTTCATCCGATGGCCCAATCCAGACTCGTAGGGAAATTTTCTCCCTCAAAACAGTTACATATTTTTATAGTAGTTTTCTGTCCCGCTCTTAAATCTCATTATTCTTTCTCTTTTATTTTTTTCTTGTATTTTTCTGCCCCATTATTCCAGTCTTCCTGTTTTCTTTCTTTCACATTTCTTGGATTCTTTACTTTTTTTTCTCTCATATTCCTTTCTTTTTTTTTCTTTTTTTTTTTTAGGAGAGTGCCTCTTTCATTCACATTCTTTCTTTCTTCTCCATTCCTATCTTAATAATTTTACTTTTCTTTTTTATGCCCCTGCATCATTTTCTTTCTTTCTTCCTTTTTCCTTTCCTTTAGTTATTTTATTTATTATTTTTATTCTGTTGAATCATTTCTTTCTTTCTTCCTTTCTTTCTTACTTCTTTCTTTCTTTCTTTTTCATTCGTTCCTTATTTATTTTTCCTTTTCTTTTTTATTCTCCTATATCAATTTCTCTCTTCCTTCCTTTTTCCCATTCTATTAGCCATTTTATGCTTTTCTTTCTTTATTCTCCTGAATCATTTCTTTCTTTCTTTCTTTCTTTCTTTCTTTCTTTCTTTTTCATTCGTTCCTTAGTTATTTTTCCTTTTCTTTTTTATTCTCCTACATCATTTTCTTTCTTCCTTCCTTTTTCCCATTCCATTAGCCATTTTATTCTTTTCTTTTTTATTCTCCTGAATCATTTCTTTCTTTCTTTCTTTCTTTTCCATTCGTTCCTTAGTTATATTTTCTTTTTTATTCTCCTATATTATTTTCTTTCTTTCATTATTTGTTTATTTTTCCATTCGTACATTAGACATTTTTCCTTTTGTTTTTATTCTCCTCCATCATTTTCTTCCTTTCTTTCTCTTCTACCTTTTATATTTTATATTTGCCATCATATATTTCCTACTCGCCGTCAGTAATTACACAACAAAAAAAAAAAACGGAGTAAGACAATGATGTGACTAGACTTATTCAAATTCGAAATTAAGTCTACCATGATAAAACTAGAATTCCTAGTAGGATTTATTATTGACAGTCACGATCTTAATATAAGATTTGTAAATGACACAATGTTGAAAACAGATACGGAACGGTAGCTACAGACAATCCTACAAAATGTAGTAAGGAAAAGCGAGAAGAAAGGACTAAACCTAAATTGTTAGAAAACAAAATTAATGGTCGGCAAGAGGAACAGGCCAAGAAAAATTAAGCATTACGAAATTCAACAAGTACAAAAACCGAAATATCTCGGAAGTGTTTTAACATGGGACGAAAAATGACACCGAAATGCGAGCACGCATTTAAATAGCAAAATATGACTAAATACAAATATAAAGTTATATTGTATTTCCACCGTCACATTATTTATAACGTATTTCTATTGTAACATTACACAGTATTTCCATCCTTACATTGTTTATAACGCATTACTATAGTAACCTTATACTGCATTTCCCTCACTACCTTTTTATAACACATTTCTGTAGTAACGTTATACTGTATTTCCATCGTTACATTATTCATAACGTATTTCTGTAGTAATGTTATACTGTATCACCATCATTGCATTATTTACAACGTATTTCTCTAGTAACATTATACTGTATTTCCATCGTTATATTATTTATATATAGTAACGTTACATTATTTATATATAGTAACGCTAACTTTTTACAGCACATTTCTATAGTAACGTCATACTGTATTTCCATCGTTAAATTATTTATAATGTATTTCTGTAGTAAGGTTATACGGTATCGCCATCATTACATTGTTTACAATACATTTCTATAGTAACGTTATACTGTATTCCCATCGTTACATTATTTATATCACATTTCTATAGTAACGTTATACTGTATTCCCATCCTTACATTATTTATAACGCATTACTATAGTAAAGTTATACTGTATTTCCATCGTTACATTATTTATAACGTATTTCTGTAGTAAGGATATTCTGTATCGCCATTGTTACATTATTTACAACGTATTTCTCTAGTAACGTTATACCGTATTTCCATTGTTACATTATGTATAACGTATTTTTATAGAAAGGTTATATTGTATCGCCATCGTTACATTATTTACAATACATTTCTATAGTAACGTTATACTGTATTTCCATCGTTATTCTATTTATAACGTATATCATTAGTTACGTTATTCTAATATCTCCATTGTTACATTATTTACATATTTTCTGTAGTAACGTTATATTGTATTTCCATCATTACATTATTTACAACGTATTTCTATAGTAATGTTATACGATATTTTTATCGTTACATTATTTACAAATTATTTCTATAGTAAATTTATACTGTATCTCCAACGTTACATTATTTACAACACATTTCTATAGTAACGTTATACTGTATTTCCATCGTTACATTATTAATTAAGGTATTTCCGTCTTTACAATATGTGACACTATTTAGCTATGGTAATTAAGCATGGAAATTAAAAACGAGAAATACTTGAGCCGAGAAAGAGCTATAACGAAAGACATACCGGGCGAAATTTTTTTTTAACAAAAGGGAAATGGGTAAAGATTTTATTTTCATTTAAGAAGAAAGGTATTTTTTTTTTTTTTTTTTGCAGAAGATAGAAAATTCGTAAGAAAAGCGGGTATCGGATTCTGTCAGAATTAATTAATATCATGACGCAACAAGGGAAACAGAATACGGATAAAGAATAACAATCTGCCCACACGTGTAGCAATAATAAAAATTTCAATTCGGTCAGCGGCATACAAAGCAGAATTCTAGAAGATAATCGAAACTGGGTCAAGCATGCGACCGAGAAGGAATTCAGTGAGACCACCCCAAAAAAGAATAGCCACCAATTATCTTTCGGAGATATCATTTGGTTTTGGTTCTTGTGTCCAGCGAGGAGACCCATCTGTTGTATGTCCGGATCTTGACATGAGGAGATAAGGCCGAGAAGGGAAAATCTTTGTTACTACCTGTTCGAACTATTAACGACAGACTTTCTGTCGCCGAGAGCGGGTGTCTGAGGGTGTGATGGTGTTGAGACGAGAAAGACATAGAGATTTAGGCGACCACCCAGTTGACTAGCGATAGTTAATGAGTCGGCGAAAATTCCGCTAATGAATTCCAGGTGACCCAAGCATAAGACGAAAAATTAAATGGTCGCGATATGCGATCCGTAAGAATTCTGGCCGATAGAAAAGAAAGAAAATTTTTTTCTTTGGACCATAATTGTAAACTGGGGCCAGTCTAGCCACACCCACGCTGCCGAGCGTTCATTGGCTGAGTGGTGGCGTGAGTGGTGGGTGAAGGTGAACATATGAGAAAGAAGGGAAACCTGTTGACGCCCACTGAAGGGATTGGTGTGAGATACCAATATGAGAAAGGAAAAGTTTAGGAGGATAATTCTCCTCAACCCTCCACCCACAGAGGGTGGGGAGAATGCCTCTAAAACAGAAAGTAATTGATTTCCAAAAATGGGAAGTAATAAATTTTCCTGTCCAAAGACAAAGAGGATTGGGGATTTAGTATTATCGAGGAACACAAACCACGACAGGCCCCCACCCGGTTTTGACCGGCGTCGATATAAACGAACGATATAGAGAGTGAGACAGTTACAGTTGAGTAGAGTTAGGTTGGAGATCGGAGACGCACGCAAATCGACAGAGAGCTGTTGAGCTCGGAGACCATCCTCGCGGGAGCTGACCGAAAGAATTCCATGCATTCCGACTTTGAAGAACGACTTAGACTTAAACCACCAAAGCAAGTTTTAACGAATATCGCCTGAAGATAACAAAAAGCAGTTTATTGAAAAACAACTTAAGATATCAAGACTCGCCTAAGAAACGCGAAGGTGTCACGGGTCCATAGAAGCGGGTTGGGAGAAAGACGCACTCCTGTATTCAGTAGACAGATATAAAGATACTTGTTATTTTTCAACACATTTGAACCTCTTGAGTTTATTTCATTATTTTTCTTTTACATACACTTGTGTGGTATCACCTTTGCCCCGGATTCAGGTTGCACTACGGCCCGACGCCTGATTGATTTCGTCTACCTAAGATCAAATCACAACGTGGGTAGGTTAGACTAGAGATCAAAGCAGTTACTTCAGTAACCAGACGTTGAAGGCGAGCTGGGAACGACAAAGCTGATATCGAATCTAACCAGACATCGACCGCGACCAAGACAACCAGAGGGGTTAGTATCACACATGGTTCCGTGGTAACCAGATTTCCATCCGAACCAGCCAACGGTTAGATCGTCACAGATGGTGCTGCAGTCGGCCCAGGGTTAGAGGCGTCACAATTGGCGGCCGTAACCAGGACTGACCGGTGGCGTCACAACTGGCGCCGCGACCAGCACAGAACAAGACCAGGGTGGCGTCACAATGTGTAAAAATGTGTTTTTCTGCTACAGAAAGCATTTCCAGAAATCTTCAGAGTGGATTTTGTTCAAGGTCTGCTACTTGCTTTTGTCTTGCGTATTGCTTCCTCAATGTCAAAACTTTTCCCCTTCACCTAATGTCTTACGCCTTAGAAGAAAAAAGTTAATCTGCATTAGATCTGTCCAATGATAGGGTAAATAGAAAACGCGTTGTCTTGGTGAAAAGTCCATTCATCGCTTATCCATATTTATTCCATTAGTAAGCAGTATTGCTGTCAAAAAGAGGAACTTAAAATGATTGGGGCCCTTCACAAGTCACAAGTGTAAACAATCATTCCACCACCATCCTCCAAGGTACCACTTTAAGCAAAAGAAAAAAAAGAGTTTGACAGAGCAAGAAAACGGTCTGATAACAGTCACTGAGTGAAATGGAAGACGTGGACATTGGCTAGCAACCAAGACATAAAAAGATAGCATTAAAAAAATCTTATGACTCATCTTTTCAACACTCTAAACAAAACTTCTGATATTCTGTTTGTTCAATCGTCCCTGGAAAGACGATGAAAGACATCCGGCAGCAAGGCTTCTGAGCCGGAGGTTTTGAGGAGCATTGTACGACATCTTAATTGCTGTTGTTCTCAAGGCCTGATCCAGAGTGGTGGCACCTGTTAGGGTCATAGCTATGGGTAAATAATAACCACTACTTCAAACTGGGGTCAAAATATGAAAATATAAAAGTACATTAGAAAAAATTACCAGCAATACATTATTAAAAAATAAAGAAATACTAAATTACCAGCAATACATTATTGAAAAAATAAATATATACAAAATTTCCAGCAATACATTATTGAAAAAATAAATAAATAAATAATCACCAATAATACGTTATTGGAAAAGAAATTAAAAATTACCAGAAATACATTATTAAAAAAAAAATAAAGAAATATTATTGGAAAAAAATTACCAAAGCTGACAAGAAAATAAAATTTCTGTATTAAATGAGCCATAAGGTGTTGATATGCCGTTAAATAAACAAACCAAGTCAAATGAAACCGTTTGTCCAAGAGAAGAATCTCCTTGTGTCCGAAGCCATTTCGAATCAAATAAACAAATAAGCATTCTCTTGACAATGGATATTTCCGGAACTCGATGAATTTGGCGTATTTCGTTTTCCAGTCTATAACCGTAGACATAAGTTTCATTTCTCGTCGCAAATGTCTGAAAGAAAAATGTGTTTTCATTTCGAACCTGTTCCAACAAACCGTGACACACATTCAAACGATTGCTTTTAGTTTTTGTTTTTTCTCAATCCTGTCTGAGCAAAGAAAATTGGATGGCAGGAAGTTATGTAAACACCCGACCCACATCCCCGTGAGAAGATTCGAACGTTCATTCGACGTAACCGAAAAGCCATGTTGCTTTGATTCATTTCATTTGTCTTCACTCACTTCTCGACTTGCGACTGAAGTGAAGACGTGAATCGGGGGTACCAAATTTCATACGATGATATCTTCGTCCCTTTGCGTTTAAATATGCTA